TATCGCAAGCGAAAGAATCCTCCATCGTTGAAGTCTCTTCCACAACAGACATCAACCTGGGACTCCCTATCCGGAGGCACATCTCCAATGATGCTTGGAAGACTCGCGACAAGGCTGACCCTCCTGCTGTCCAAATTACTAACTATGGTGAAAAGTTACTGTAAATGATGAAGTGGTACCAGTGCTGTCAAAGACCTAACACACCAAAAACCTCATGGACGTCATTAGCTGCAGCTGCCGAGAGATGGGAATGCCGCCCAGCAGGAATGTGCGTTGTGCAGCAAAATGATTGTCATGTACCAGCTACTATGGTGTGAAGGAGAAATGAGTGTTGTAACTCACTGACACAACGAGATGATGCTGAAGAACGATATGAAGAGCAGAATGGAAGGAGAAGAGGATCTAGAGACTGGAGAGAATGATCACAACCATGAAGACGAAGGCAATAGTAAGTAGTTTGATGGTGTTGGGTGTTCATCTATGTATTCCATGATCTAGCCTGCATCATAATATATTAACATTTTTTATATATAATAATAACTTACTGTAATATAGAAGTCCTATAGACGATGCGAATCCTTGGCGTTAAGAACATGGGTCTAAAACATCAAAACAAAGTCTATCTTCCAACAGTTGCTCAGTTATGGTGATTTTTACGGTTTACCTCATTATGCATGGCAGCCATATTGGATTTTCTGGCCAGTCGCGAAGGATCGGTAGGGGTTTGAATCCAGCCAGATCAATTGCTTAGCTGTCGAAAACATGGGTCTAGACACACGAATGAAGTCTCTATGTGGATTACTAAGAAGATATTCTTGATTTAGTGATTTGAACCAGTAATACGCTAATTAGGCCGATTATGCAAATCTACACATATTGCAAATTAGCATCCGGCCAGTTTGTGAGTCTTTATGACCTGTATATTGCATTTTCAACATAAAACCTTATACTACTCGACATTTCTAGGTTCACTAGGCTGGCTAGTAGACTAAAATCAAGAATTATTCAGAGATTTATCAAACGAGAACTAAATTTTATTCAGTAAACTTGTGCATACACCCACAATCATAAGGAACATTAATGGATCAGGATACCCTGATTATGTTATCTTTCTTATTGACTCAATAGTGATTACATAGTGACACAAAATAACTTTGCCAAAAAATCACTCAAATTTCCAGATCTCAATTGACTAAGAGGTGAACTAACTAACTTTCTCTGTGTGTGTGTGTGTGTGTGTGTGTGTGTGTGTGTGTGTTCGGCCTGCGTTGTGCGTCGTGCGTGTGCGCTGTGCGTTGCGTGTGCGTTGCTGTTGTGTGTGTGTGCTTTCTCTCTCTCTCTCTCTCTCTCTCTCTCTCTCTCTCTCTCTCTCTCTCTCTCTCTCTCTCTCTCTCTCTCTCTCTCTCTCTCATACAACAATAATTGTCAACAATATTGAAATTTACTAAAAGTCGTAATAATGGATGACTTAGGCGTAATGGCGTAATTAATACACCAAAATCGTAATAATTACGCCCAAATCGTAATGGTTGGCATGTCTGCACCCCATGACAATAGCTCATCTTGACGATGTCAAGGCGAGCTAAAAACAAGGGCATTCGATAATTTCGCTGCGGATTTTTACCGCTGCGTACAAATTCGCATGGTGTGTCCGTGGAAGCGAAAATCAAGCTGGCCGATTGTTATAATGCAGCGAATCATTGATCAGTAATCTAATCACGTGACCACACGACTGTTGGAGCCATGGTTGGAGCCGTGTGGCGCCAGTAGATCGCGTGTAGTGTGTCTGCTGCGGACGTGCGAATAAATTCGCATGGTGTGTCCGCTCAATTATCGCATGCGGGTGCGAATATTTTCGCCGTGAATTTCGCTGTGGATATGATCGCCGCGGACGTGCGAATAAATTCGCATGGTGTGTCCCAGGCTTAAGTGGCTGTATAATCTAAGGAGGAAAGGTCCCATAGAGACTGTCTAAGATGTTGATCGATATAAGACATCATGGAAAGCTATATTGATTACAGTGCATCTATTCCACTTATCTAGATCTCGCCTTGCCTGCCCTACCCGTTAAACCTGACTGGAGTTTAAATGATCTTAGCAACAAGTTTCCGTCGCGAACACATGTAATATGGAGGGCTGTGTAGGCCATACAGTGTATTTAGCTTACTGATGCAGGGTGTACTATATATGACTGCAAACTGACAGCATCAGAAACCGGTCACATTACTGTTACCATTAGATTTACGTTTACCATGCGGCTGCTGAGACATTCACAAGTACTTAGTTTACATGCATACTGATGCCGACCAAATTTCTGTGAGTTCACAGAACATTCTGTATGCAGATTGGCATCCTTACAGAGTGAACGCATTACATATATTGCATGACTGCTGGACAATATAGTATTGTTAGTGAGTAAAATCAGCACAGATGATCCCATTTTAATGCCAACCGACCAATATGATAAATTCGTTGGCACTAACAACAAAGATTTTGCACACAAATCCCCTGTGAACACGCAGCAGGCGAACAGCATAGATTGAACATACACACTGGGCTACTCTGCACCAGAAAGTGGACAGCAGTTTTCCATGATAGACAGACACATAGTCGGTCGTTTTCTTAAACATTTGAAACCTATCCACGCCTTTATACCACAAGTGCCTGTATTTAGGTGGGGCATGGATTGTAAATTTACATACAATTTATTTCACAGCAATCTCTCGAGTAAAGATATTTAACTCTCATAGTACCACTTACGTAATTACATTTCATCACATTACCTACGAGCTTCTGGGAACGTCTGCGGGGGGTGGTTGCGAGTTATTGTTGCCATAGCCAGCAACGATTTCGAACTACTGTACGTCATCATGATAGATACTGAGTAAGTGGGGGGGGGGCATGGAAGCATGGCTTAAAATGTGAAATAACATATAATAATCATGAAAGAAGCTTACCGCACTATGTCCTTTTAATTATATTTCACTGCATGGGAAAATTAGATCAGACAGGATTAATAAGGATTCATAATAATAAACAGATTTATGTACAAAGTGCAACATTGTGATGACTCACTGAGTCTGCTCTGCGAAGATCATTTCCACCATAAGCAATCATGGCATAATAGTCATCGTTGACATGCGATGTTAGCTTACTTGTCACCGGAACGAATTTTACTCACGCTATCTGTAAAACAAGGTCGCAATGCTTTCTGCCATACTGGTATCGTGTGGGAACTAAGCGTGTTTACACACAGTTCAATGTTTTGACCATTTTAGCATTCGTGTCTACAGTGCTGCCAGATGAAAACTGAACTGCTTCATCTTTATTAAAAATATTGGCAAATTTAACCAGAGACACCAATCAGCGAACCACCATAGAGTTTTAGATATTTAGCATGGTATTGAGTTAAAGGTGATGCTGTCCCCGGCAACACGCTATAGCTAACAGACCTTTGATTTTTATATCAGGACAACACTGTGAATATGTGGCCAATCACATTTCATACCAAAAACCGCATTTCAGCCACCTCTTGAATATATAGGATACAAAAACATCATTCCTAACAACTTAACAAGTAAGTATAACGTCTCTCAGTTAAGTTATAAATGCAATAGCGTACTGCTGAAACACATAAGAATGTGTCTAGCAAACTGAGCCCTTTTACTAGAAAAAATAAATAAGATCTGCTCTTGATCCCCATCGATGCCTGGTCTTCTTATATACAACACTGGGAAATCTGGCATTTGACAGGCGAATTTTGTTATGGCTGCTTAGAACTATAAGCAAAACATGCTGACAGTGCAAGAGCAAACATTCTCACTCACTATCAGTTTAAATCATGCACCTTAATTTATGACAATGTGTTTTTGTACCCTATGCCACTTTGGTCTAATCGTAAACCTGCTATGCTGCTATGCATGTGTTGAACTAAGTTACTGTTGTTGAGAGGGTCTATGTCTCCCGGGGTACTGCCGGAACGTACCCTGGCTATGGTCCGGTATACCGGAACGTACCCTGGTACTATCTAATATGCCGGACCGTACCTCACCTACTCCACTAACGAGTCTAGGGAGTCGCCTACGCCTACTCCCTAACCCGAACCTGAACCCTAACCATAATCCTAACCCTAACCTATGCCCTAACCATATCAAATAGTGACCAGGGTACCTTCCGGTATACCGGACCGTACCCAGGGTACGTTCCGGCAGTACCCTGGGGGACATAGACCCTATGAACGTTACTGTTAGTATGGCAGATAAGGTCTACGTCCCCCTGACTTCTGTTTGACCTGGCTCGTTTAGCTATTTCTGACTAATATATATATATATATATATATATAATATATATATAATATATAGGGTTAGGGTTAGGGTTAGGGTTAGGGTTAGGGTTAGTCAGAAATAGCTAAACGAGCCAGGTCAAACAGAGGTCAGGGAGACATAGACCTTACGGGCGTTATTTACAGGTCACGAACCACTCGCCGCCACGACCGCGGGAGGCTGATGGCTTGCGATGCGCGCACTTACGGTTAGGCAACGAAGAATTTATTTCGGGTCCATGCTGATTAGGCGAAGGTGACAGAGAGTCATGTCTGTAAGACATGTCTGTAAGGCGCCAAGGTAGTCCGGGAGCCAAA